ATTGATGTTAAAGACTAGAAATATTCTTGTATAATTGATGGAGATCTGTCAATATCACAGGCATTGTTGAAAATATTTATTAATACCCTCAGTGTAAAACAGACCAGATCACCATATGATAGGGGCCTAATGTCGCATACCTTTTTGAACTAATTTTTGCAAATATCTTTAACATAATACAGCCGCTCTCTGAAACCATTAAGTTTCAGATATAGTTAGAGCTGCAAACAGGAAATGATGATATGACAAGATGGAGAAAAGATAAAGCTGACTTGTTACACTGCAGCCTTTTTGGACCAGAAATAAAATTGCAATGACTTTCGTGAATAACAATACAGTGCACACTAATGGATTTTGGCTGCTTTCCTTCAGTTAGTCTATTTGCATAATGCACAGCGAAGAAAGGTTTCAGTCACATTTTACCATCTGTATATTGAAATATGTTTGTTTTCAGTTCAGCTGCATCGAAGGAAATGTCTGCAGCTTTCACTTTCATCCATGTTTGAGCACTTGAAAACAAATCAATGTTGAGTGATGTAATGGTTATGATCAAAGTTTCTAAAATGTTATGTTGTCTTATTCCTTTTCACATACTGCATACTCCTATTGTTTTCTGGTGTTAGTTCAAATTTTCAGCATAAGACCATCAGATGTAGGAGCAGAGGTAGGCCATTCAGCCCACTTAAGTCTGCGCCACCATTCAGTGAGGTCATAGCTGATCTGATAATTCTCAACTCCACTTTCTTGCCTTTCCCCATGACCCATGGTTGTCTTACTGATTAAAAATCTGTCAATTTTAGGCTCGAATATAATTAATAACCGAGCCTAGTCAGCCCTCTGCAGCAAGGAATTTTATAGATTCACTACTCTCTATTAGAAAAATTTCTTCCTCATCTCTGTCGTAAATGTGTGGCAGCTCGTTATAACCTCTGGTCTTATGTGGTCTCTCCACAACTACTCTGTCAAATCTCCTAAGAATCTTATATGTTTCGGTGAAGACACCTGTCATTCCTTTAAACTCTAATGAATACAAGCCCAACCTACTCAATCTGTCCTCATAAGAGAATCCTCCAGATTCGGTAACAGCTTAGTGAATCTTCTCTAGACTGCGTTCAATGCCAATCTATCTTTCCTTAGATAAGGGGACCAAAATGTTTGCAGTATTCTAGGTGTAGTCTAACTAGTGTCTAGTGTAAGATACTCCCATTTTTATACTCCATTCCCTTTAAAATAAAGGCCAAAATTCCATTTATCTTTCCCATAATCTGCTGAACTTTTTTTGCTAGCTTTTCGTGATTTATGCATGAAAACCCCCCACCCAAATTCCCTCTGCTGCAGCTTTCCGCAGTCTTTCTCCATTTACATAGGAACGTAGGAATTAGGAGCAGGGGTAGGCAATTCAGCCCTTTGAGCCCACTTCACCATTTAACATGATCATGGTTGTTCTTATCCTGGTCTCAATTCCACTTTTCTGCCTGCTCCCCATAGCCCTTTATCCCACTTTTAATCAGAAATGTATCTATTTCTTTCTTGAATCTGTTGAATGATTCTGCCTCTACTGCACTCTGGGGCAGTGAGTTGCACAGATTCACAACCCTCTGAGGGAAGCAGTTTCTCCTTATCTCATTTCTGAACCTACCTCCTCTCACTCTATAGGTATGACCGCTTGTTCAAGACTGTTCATCTGCAGTTTCTTTTTATTAATAATGTTTACACTTGAGTTTCAGCCACCTGAAGAGATGAACTAGCTTCTCAAAGGTTGACATCATTCAAAGTAACAGTAAATCAAAAGTACAAGCAAATAAAACTCTGGATACTTCTGGCTGTTGTCTTGTCTAGTACCATTAAACAGCTTACTTATATTCTAGATTCCAATTCTGACAAAAAGTTGAAATTCGAGACATTAAAAGTCTTTTTACAAACATGGTGGAACATGCTGTGTATTGGCAACATTTTCTCATAAAGTTTCTAAACGCATTCTTGTGGGAGTTGATTGGGGTTTGCCAAATTATTTTCTGAATAGAACTGCAGGATTTGTGTTCCAGCAGCCAGCCTTAAAGACTTAATCAGAAACTCGTGTCCCTCCATCAGGAATGGTGTCATTCTAATAGGCTACCTAGTCACGTTTTGAAGTTCTGAAGAAGGGTCACTGGACTTAGAATATTAACTCTGTTTTCTGTTTGCAGATGCTGCCGGACCTGCTGAGTTTCTCCAGGAATTTTTGTACTTGTTTGTTTCAGATTTCCAGCATTCGTAGTTCTTTATTTCATTCTATTAGATATTAATATAATTTCAGCAGGAGCTGTGCTATGCCATCTTGAGCTGGAGTAACTCAATTAGGAGTTGGACTTACTGTAACACAGGGGCTGGCATCAGTGGTTAGGAATGAGTTTCACTCAAACAGAAGCTGGTCTAATCCAGATATGTCCTCATGCAGTATAAAGCCTTAGAAACACGTTTATTATTTAAAGAGCCAATTTCCCTATTTTGAAAGCCATTTAGCAGAAATATGGCAGAAAACTTTCTTTACTGTACTGCACGCAAGGAATCAAATCAAAACAGTCAAAAGGCAGCACACCCATATTCAGCCCTACTTGTATCAGTTCTTTCATGGGATGTGGGCTTTGCTGGTAATAACAGCATGTTGCCCACGTTTAATTAATCTTGAACTTGGCTTGTGGCTTGTTAAGGCATTCAAGGGTCAATCGCATTTAATCTGGAGTTAAATGTAGGCCAGATTAGGTAAAGACGACAGATTACCTTCCTAAAAGGATCTCAATGAATCAGATAGGTTTTCAGAAGTAGTTTTATGGTCATTTTTATTCAGAACAGCTTTATATTCCAATTTTAATTAATTAAATGCAAACAGTCCAGCTGGTTTGGTGGGATTAGAATCCATAACACCAGACCATTAGCCTGGGTCCACGGTGGTTCAAGCCCAGTGATTACCACTGCACATTGTTTATCAGTTAAAAACAATTTATACACCCTGAGAGGCTGGTTACCTTAATTGGCAAGAAGTTGAGCATGTGGTTCAATTTCTGTTCTGGCTGAGGTAGACTTTAACCTGTTCTTTTCCTGCCTTATGTTTGATGCAAAACAGTACCCCTAAAGCTTTATATAATCAAATGCCTCTCTCTATTGGAAGGACATGGCTATAGCCCCTTGTAAAGTATGGCAAATTGCCTACCTACCTCACCCACCACAGGTTCTGAGGAAAAGTCATAATGGACTCAAAATTTTAACTCTCTTTCTCTCTCCACAGATGCCGCCAGACTTGCTGAGTTTCCCCAGAATTCTCTGTGCTTGTTTCAGATTTCCAGTATCCACAGTATTTTATCTGACTGTCTAAGGACCCTTAGTGAATTTCTGCAGATGGCACTCACTGTTGCTACTGAGCATGGGTGGTGGAGGTTGCGTATGTTTATGGATATAGTGTCAATCAAGCGGGCAGCTTTGAACTGGATGGTCATAGATTCCCTACAGTATGGAAGCAGGCCATTTGGTCCATCAAGTCCACACTGACCTTGCAAAATGTTTTGTACCAGACCCACCATATCCCTGTAACCCTTTATTTCCCATGCCTAATCCACCTAACCTGCTCATATTTAGACTGTGGGAGGAAACCGGAGCACCCGGAGGAAACCCATGCAGACACAGGCAGAATGTGCAAACTCCACACAGACAGTTACCCAAGGGTGGAATTGAACCTGGGTCCCTGGTGCTAGGAGGCCACAAGTACTAACTACTGAGTCACCATGCCGCCCCAACTGGTGTTAAGCTTCTTGAGTGTTGTTGGAGCTGCACCCATTTGGGCAGGTGGGGAGTATTACGTCACACTCCTGATGGTTCCTTGTAGATGATGCACAGGCTTTGGGGAGTCAAGAGATGAGTTACTTGCCACAGTATTCCTAGCCTCTAACTCTTGTGCTCTTGTTTATGTGGCTTGTCCAGTAGCCTGAGGAACTCCTGCAGAGGTGTCCTGGAACTGAGATGACTGATCTCCAACAACCACAACTTATGGCTATTGCTTTTGTGCTAGGTTTGACTTCAACCAGTGGAAAGTATCTCTCAGTTCCCATTACCTCTTGTTTTGCTAGATCTCTTTGATGCCACACTTTGTCAAATATGGCTTTGATGTCAAGGGCCACGATTTTCTTTTCACTCTAATTTATACCTTATGAGAGAAGAGTGCTGATTGTTTGGCAAATCTGTATATTTTTTTCAGCAATATTCCAGTTCTACACTACCAACCGCCTATATGAACTTTTAATTAGGAGGACTGGGATATATCTGAGATAATAAATGGCACAACTACAGTAAATACGGTGATCAGCAAAAGAAATGCCATTTGCCGTACCTGAGAAAACAGTACTGAATTTGCCCATACAGTACTCAATATGCTTACCATGGAGCTCTGAAATATTTATAGCTATCAGTTTGTAATAGAAACTAACTCCTCTGACTATTGCAAAATCCATTCTGAGAGCTGTTAATATTTGATGTATTGCAGCACTAGTGTTACATTTTTGTCCAGTTTCAATAAGATGGAGGTAAGAATTACAGTAGTAAAGATTTCAACTTGTGAACATTGAACACCTATTTTTTCTGTCAGTTGTGAAGTGCTGTTGATGATCAGCTATCGTTCACTGTGGAGTTGGAAACTGTGAAAAGCCCCTTGGGTCTGTATGTTTGATATGTCATGAATATTGTAAATATTGACTGTAATTATAAATGTAATAAGTCTATTCATATCCTGTATATTACACTATACAGGATGAAGCTTATTTACTTTGCAAATTGTGTAATGTTAACTTTAAACAGCCATATACTGTACTTTCATAAATTTTCTGAGGAAAGTATTCTTTTTTAAAATCTGATACGTGTGTGTTTGGGTGCAGTTGATGAGGGGATAGTGAAGGAGAAAGTGAACTGACTGATTATGAGACTGAATTTTTGTTCATTTGTCCAGTATACTGTATGTTTCTGCTCCACTACAGAGAGTCGCTTAATACTTGATGCCTTTGCGCAGCAATGCAGTCGAGTCCTGACACTCCTAAAGGACAATGGAAAACTTCTGGACACCAACCAAACTCAAGTCATTTCTTGTGTTAAAAAAGAGAGCGGGTGTTACGATGAGTGCACAGGACAGTGTCAGCTGGTCAAAGGTGCCCCAATGCAACCACGGGCATCAGGAAATTCAGAGACAGAATTACAGAATGTGCAAAAGAGACATCAAACCTCAGCCTTGCTTCGTGTATTTACGGATTCTCTACAAAGTTACCTACTTGCTGGGGGACGGCCATCACATAGTACTGTTGGGATGAGTGAATGCAGTCACATGACAGACATGGATCCCCTTTCCACATCTCCCACCCATACTCTGGGAGGGTGGACATCCCCAGCAACATCTGAATCTCATGTCCATCCATCATCTACATTCCCCGAGGAGGACGAAGAAGATGGCTACTGTCAGAGGTGCCAAGAGTTGGAGCAGGAAGTGGTTTTACTGCAACAGGAAAATGAGGAACTGAGGAAAACCTTGGATCGAATTCCAGGTGTGTGAAGTCTACCTTAGTTATTTTAATACTGTTCCACTCACTTTGAATATTAACGGTTTATTGATATACAAATTTATGCTGATAACTTTGATGTAAATTCTGGCTATGGACAACTCTGCACAATATTTTCTACCCTTGTTTTAGTTCTCGTAAATATTGAAATTGCAAAGTATTAAAATACAGAAGCAGTTCCCATAATTTTTAACATAAGATCCTTAAATGCAACAGGAACATGGATGCAGGGTCTATTGCATACATTAATGCTTAGATATATGAACACATAATGGTCAAGCACACATTCTAACAATCTATACACTGTGATGTTAATGACAGTATATTGATGATCTTCAAAAGTACAAGAAGACAAGGATAAGACATATTATTTATATGGCTTTTAGATGGGCTTAACTTCTCCTTTCCCGCTATGTTGTTAAATAATGTTACTGTAAATGGCAGTAAAGCACTGCACTTGTTGGCTGAACTCAACTGAGTCTAGGCAGTGCATTTGGCAAAGAGCTTTTTCCTTCCTGAGAGTTCAATGCTTTTAGAATTCACAGTGTGTGAAGAGATGCTTATGGTTGCCATACTATAATTACTGAGGTAAAAAGGACCCATAAAACAACTTCCATGAGAACCCTGCCTTCCTGAATGCTGAATAGTGACTCTTTTTACTAAGATGCATTCGATGATTGTGCTAAATGCTTACCTGAAATGATTTTCTTTCATGCAGTGCCCTGTCAGACTGTTCTTGATTATTATAAGACGGTACTCCAGCATCACAATCAACTAGTCCAACCAGTCTCAGAGGAGCAGCCAACAGAGGTACTTTTGGATGGAAGCAGTCCTTCATGTTATATTCTTCTTGTGCTTTAGTGAGATGCAGCTTATTTGACATCACTGCCTAGCATTGAGATTGCATCATTAGTATTTCCTTTCTGTTGACATTAATTTCCTTTACCTTCTGCATTGGATTAAGTAAACATATGTTTTGAGCATTTTATTCTAGATTTTGCATGGAAGCGTAAGTTATGATTGTGAATAAAATAATGCTCAGACATATCTTAATGACCAAGGAACGGCAATACTTGACAGTAAGAATTTGCTTTTCTGAAGATTGCAGAACCGTATAAGTGGTTTAGTCTTTGATGCAATATTTTGTACCGTTACATTAATTTATGTCTTTTATTTCCTGGCTATGCTTAGCAGCAACCTAATCTAGCCATAGTAAGCTACAACCCATGCAGCAGTTTGAACTATAAGTTTCATTTTTGACTGAGAATGATGACACACATTCCAACTTAAATAGTAGCAGGGCAGAACAAAATGAAAACCTGAAACAGTTGATAGAGTCATAGTCATACAGCACAGAATCAGACCCTTCGGTCCAACCAGTCCATGCCAATCATAATCCCAAACTAAACCAGTTCCACCTGCCTGTGCTTGGCCTGTATCCCTCCAAACATTTCTTATTTCTGTGCTTATCCAAATGTCGTTTGAACATTGTAGCTGTACCCACATCCACCACTTCCTCTGGAAGTTCATCTACACACAAACCACTCTCCATATAAACAGTTACCCCTCATGTCTTTTTAAATCTTTCTCTTCTCATCTTAAAAATATACCCCCTAGTCTTGAAGTTCCCACACTAGGGAAAAGACACCTGCCATTCACCTTATCTATATGATGTTCAATTTATTGTTCTAATAAAAGATGCATACAGCTGGTTCATCTCACCTCTCCTACACTATAATGGTCAAGGCATCAAGATAAGTGTAATGATCTCAATAGACACTATTAAGGTTTTAAAATGAAAATCAGACTTGCAGTCAGGAACTGCAAGAGCTATGCCACAAGATTTCACACTTTAAACAAAAAACCTTTTATCATACAAGAGGTAAACAAAAAAAGCACTACTAAGTTATTTAACCACCTAATTGTAGACATCCTGTCTAACACAGAGCCTGGAGAGACATCATCTATTATTCAGCTTCTAAAACTCCAATTATAACTTTAGTAAGTAAACGCGGTCTAACCTTTGATATGTAATCACCCCCAGGTTTGTCTGTTAGCCTTCCAGACTAGGTACATTTTCATTTATTCTATACATCAAAATTTCAAATGCAAAGCCTCAGTACTAAAAAAAACTATGAATTAAGAAATTACACATTTGTCATTCTGAATACTTCTTGCCCACCCTCCCATGCAGCTATGTAATGTCCAATGAGTTGCAAAATTCAAACAGAGATAAATTGCAACACTAATAAGGTTAAAAAAAACTCTGGAAATTCTCTCCATTGCCTCAGGCAATCAAACCAGTCAATCAAACTAGTTATTGCAAGTTCTTTCTAGTAAGAACCACAAAGAAGACTGAAACACCTCGTAGACAGTTCAAACCACTCCATCCACTCTGCCCAAGAATCCCTCAACATTATCAAGGACACCAGAATAAATGAAGATGAGATAATGGTCTCCTTTGACTACACTACTTACCTCTATAAACATCCTCTTAGCTAAAGAAACACCAGCCTCTCACTAGATAGACCAGGGATCAAGAGCAAACTATGTGGTAAATGGAAAAGCCCTGGGGAAAATTGATGCACAGAGAGATCTGGGTGTTCAGGTCCATTGTACCCTGAAGGTGGCAACACAGGTTGATAGAGTGGTCAAGAAGGCATACGGCATGCTTTCATTCATCGGATGGCCTATTGAATACAAGAGTTGGCAGGTCATGTTGCAGTTGTATAGGACTTTGGTTCGACCACATTTGGAATACTGCGTACAGTTCTGGTCGCCACATTACCAAAAGGATGTGGATGCTTTGGAGACAGTGCAGAGGTGGTTCACCAGGCTGTTGCCTGGTATGGAGGGCGCTAGCTATGAAGAGAGGTTGAGTAGATTAGGATTATTTACATTAGAAGGACGGAGGTTGAGGAGGGACCTGATTGAGGTCTACAGAATCATGAGAGGTATAAACAAGGTGGATAGCAAGAAGCTTTTTCCCAGAGTGGGGGACTCAATTACTCGGGGTCACGATTTCAAGGTGAGAGGGGAAAGTTTAAGGGAGATATGCGTGGAAAGTTCTTTACGCAGAGGGTGGTGGGTGCCTGGAACGTGTTGCCAGTGGAGGTGGTAGAGACGGACACGATAGCGTCATTTAAGATGTATCTAGACAGATACATGAATGGGCAGGGAGCAGAGGGATACAGATCCTTGGAAAATAGGCAACAGGTTTAGATAGAGGATCTGGATCGGTGCAGGCTTGGAGGGCCGAAGGGCCTGTTCCTGTGCTGTAATTTTCTTTGTTCTTTGTTCTTTTATACATACACCTGACAACACCAACACTATCAGCAAAGATGGCACACTCAAAATACTGGATCTGTGCCTCACAACCCACTTCACCTTCAATGGCAAGATATACGGACAAATCAACGGAACACCCATGGGATCACCGATGTCAGGATTAATAGCAGAAGCCATAATGCAAAGACTGGAATGGACAGCACTTCCCATCATCCAACCAAAACTATGGATCCACTATGTGGATGACACCTTTGTTATTATCAAACACTCTAAACTGGAAAAAAACCCATCTATTCATAAACAGCATCCTCATAAAATTCACCAGGGAAGAGGAGAACAACAACAGACATTCCTTCCTGGGTGTAATGGTCAAACATATGGCCAACGGTCATCTCCAGACCAGTGTACACAGGAAGGCCACCCATACGGATCAGGTACTCAATTACAGTAGCAATCATCAATATATCCACAAATGGAGCTGCATCAAAACAATGTTCAAGTGAGCCGCAACACACTGCAGCACCCCAGAGCCACGCAAAGCTGAGGAAGAACACTTATACAGCGTCTTTAGAAACAACGGTTACCAGAAAAGTGTAGTCTGTCGATACCTACACAACAGACCACAGCAGGAAGACACAACACATCCAGAGACACTAGTCACCCTTCCATACATTAAGGACATATCTGAAATGACTACCAAATTACTCCACCCCTAAGAATCATGGTAGCCTGCAAACCAACAGCTACACTACGACAGCTACTGACAAGAATAAAGGATCCGACAACTACACCTAACAGAACCAACATTATTTACAAGATACCATGCGACGACTGTCAAAAACATTACATAGGGCAAACCAGAAGGAAACTAGCCATCAGGATTCATGAACGTCAACTAGCTACCAAGACACATGACCAACTATCACTTATTTCAATACATATGGACAAAGAGGGACATCAATTCGACTGGGACAACATAACCATCCTAGGACAAGCCAAGAAAAGACACGAGAATTCCTGAAGGCCTGGCACTCAGAATGGAACTCCATGAACAAACACGCAGAGCTGGACCCCATATACCAACTACTAAGAAACAAATCTGGAAGTGATGCCGCCCACCCCAGCAAATCGAGACACATAAATAGCAAGCGGGACAGAACACATGCTTCACCAGAGGCGCACTGATGATGTTACCTACCTGGTGATGAAATGCTTGCAAACAAACTTAGTGAGCAAGTCAACAACTGCAGGAACAGAAATTGCTGGAGAAACTCAGCAGGTCTGGCAGCATCTGTGTGGAGAAAACAGAGATAATGTTTCAAGTCTAGCGACCCTCCTTCAGAACAGAGGAAGTGTCTAATATCATGGCTTTCTTGATGGATCATGTATCTGATCTGATATCTGCCACTGTCAAGAGATAGCTTGTCTGCATCTTGAAGGCATAGTGAGTCAGCACTCAACTTACCGACCTGTAATGTGTTTGAGGGACTCATCACTCTCTGGGGAAAGAACATCTAACCTGTACAAAAAAATACAAAGAACTGTAGATGCTGGAAACCAGAAACAAAATCAGAAATTGCTGGAAAAACTCAGCAGGTCTGACAGCGTTTGTGAAGAGAAAACAGAGTTAATGTTTTGGGTCCAGTGACTTGACCCAAATGTTAACTCTAATTTCTCTCCAGATCTCTGGCAGACCTGCTCCTGCTGAGTGTTTCCAGCAATTTCTGATTTCATTTCTACCATCCAAATTATTCCTATTGTCACAAAGTTTAAATTTATATTCCCTAATCTCCACAATCTATTAAACTGAAACAATCTATCAGCACTTTACTTATGTTACAGACACTTTTAAGTTTATGTCTAAAGTACATGCATCAGAGTCCTTGAATAACCTGAGTGTCTAAGGTTCTTTAAACCATTCTTATAATTCTTCAGTGGACTGGTTCCAAAGCCATTACGTCACCCATCAATACAGGGCACAGTTTTCCAGATACAGTCTTAGCAGCAAATAATAATGTCAAAATGGAGTGCTTTATAATGGAGTGTTTGATTAATACAATATTGGAGCTTGGAAAGTAGCCATTCTCTTCCTCCTGCTCTGGGAGTTTAAGCAATAGATTGCCATGAATGCAAAGCACTCCATGATGCAACTAATTGATTTATAAGTGCAACACATTTAAAGAGAACCAATTATCATCAATATGATGTGTTTCTCAGTAACTCCTCTCTAAGCCAAATAATCGAATGAATCTTTCCAAAATTAAAAAGTGATGGTATAATCTGTCATTACTTTTTGAAATTCTTATCTAGGGAACATTCTTTGTTAAATTGAGAAACTGTAATCAATCTCATTTAGATTTTCACATCAACTGAAACAGTTAGACCTTTGGTAGTGATTGGGAATACAGGAATCTAATTAAGGGGTTCAAATAATATGACAAACTGTAAGCAGAGAAATGCCAGATCTGATTGTGTGCTGCCCATTACAATGGCAAGTGCTGTGAGACCATGGAAGGAAAAATGATTGTATGTCATTTGTTTTTCCTTATTTTGAATTCTATTTTTATTGGTAGTGTAAATTTTGTTTAGCATTCCTATTAAATATGCTGTCATGTACCAGAAAAGATATTGATGCCTGATTATAGTGACAAAAGGGTGAAGCAACATTAAACTTAACTGTTGATTGTCTGTGTTTTTCACAGTATCTATGTGGTGAAATCAAATGCAATGAATCTTTACTCTGTGAGGCAGTTTTGCGTAGATTTTTATCTCTCTAGGAACTGTAACCGTGAAGTCAATTGCACTTTATTTCAGGGTGGTAGCACTCAATATCAGAGCTCAACTAATGAATTAGCTGTTAAAAATATGACATGCATCTTTAATAAGATGAACTAAATTGCGATCTATAAAGTGTCTTAACACTCTTGATCTGATAGAAGTTTATAAAATAATGAGAGGTATGGATAGAGTTGACGATGGTTGTCTTTTCCCTAAGATGGGGAATTTCAAGACTGGGGGCACATTTTTAAGGTGAGAGGTGAGAGATTTAAAAAGAAATAAAAAGGGGCAAATGTACTTCCTGATGAAGTGGTGGAAGTGGCTACAGTTACAACATTTAAAAGACATTTGAATGGATATATGAATAGGAAAGGTTCGGAGGGATATGGACCAGGACTAGGCAGGTGGAACTAGTTTAGTTTGGGATTATGTTTGGCATGGACTGGTTGGACTGAAGGGTCCGTTTCTGTGCTGTATGAGTCTATGACTCTAGTCATATTTATTTGCATTCATGCCGATTACACTGTAATTGTCATTTCTATTGTTTCTGTCTCCCCTTTTTAGGGAAACAAACAGTTGTTGAACAACTATCCTGTCTGTATCACTAGTAAGCAGTGGGATGAGGCTGTCAATTCATCTAAAAAGGATGGCCGGCGACTTCTCCGTTACCTCATCAGATTTGTGTTTACAACAGATGAACTGAAGTATTCATGTGGACTGGGCAAAAGGAAAAGATCAATGCCATTAGGGGAGCCAGGCCCAGAGCGACGTCCTCTCGATCCTGTCAAAGTGACCTGTCTCCGAGGTATGAATTAATGTTCATTGTTCATAGGACAGTGTGCACTGAATTACAGGCTACATGTACAAACAAAGACAGTTGACCTAATAGAGATGAGCAACTGTGAATCAGGTGATAGCACTCTTGATACTAAGTCAAATATTGTGATTTCATGTCATGGGCCAGAAACCTGAATGCATAATCCAAGACATTTCAGTTGAATGGGTAACAAGGTGTGGAGCTGGATGAACACAGCAGGCCAAGCAGCATCATAGGAGCAGGAAGGCTGACGTTTCGGGCCTAGACCCCC